CCCGAGATTCCAAATTAGTTGTTGGAATCAATATGATGCAATATTAAACGATTTGCCCCGTACAAATAATAATGTTGAAGGATGGCACAGAGGATTCAAGGAATTAGTGGCAAAACAGAATGCAAGTATTTGGCATATATTAAGATGCTTAAAAATGGAGCAGGCCAAAAATGAATTTATGATTTCCCAAATTCGATCAGGAGTTGAAGTAAGCAAACCAGTAAAAAAATTCATTCGGTACAGAGATTAGTTAAAATCTGTAGTAAATAAATATAATAGTAGTATATATGAAGAAAAAATTGATTACGTTTATGCAGTGGCAAGAATTCTTTTAGTTTAAAATATGTGTTTAGAATTTAATTTCATACTTAGATACTAAGGATAAAAAAATAAGTTAATTTAAAAACAAGCAAATTGTAAATGTAAAAACGATGATATTAAACAAAATAAAATTAAAAAAAGCAAGCAGACTCAAAAATATAAAATAAGATCAAAAACATTCGATGAATTGTCTCATTCGGTGAAGTGGCATTTGGTGAATTGGTATACGGTGAAATGTCCATTCGATGAATTGTACATTCGATAAATTGTCCATTCGGTGAATTGTCTTCGGTGAACTGTCTTTCGATGAATTGTCTTTCGATGAACGGTCCGTAAACCACTACACAAAGCTCTGGCTTGCCCAGAAATCGATTGCGGCCTGTAGATAAGAGCCTGCTCGTGTCTAAGGAGACTGTACAAGTCACTGCCTTGATAATTTCCGATACCTAGAGTGATTGATGATTTATTCAGAGTGTTGGCTGTACCTATAGTTTAAATCGCGTACTAATATATACTAATACCCATATTTTTCATTATATTCTCATTTAGGACGAATTCATTGTATTTTCTTTGTATTTTTCATCTAGCCCGGACTAATTGCATTACTAATATCATTATTTTCTTTTATATTTCTCCATAGGGCGGAACTATTGTAAAGGTAAATATATTCAGTTAACATTTTGCCAACTAGTTAGAATCAAATGTTCGTTTTCTTGAATAAACTAGTTACTGAAAACATTAATGTTTGGATTTTACTCCTCAACCGCATACCACACGAACCTATAATCCCTAACATAATATACGAGTCGCCTTCTGAGGGAACCGCTCTCCCTTTACTGTATGCGTCTACTAAGTTGAAACTCTAGGCGTCACTCGCTCCCCCTAATCCCCACCTCGAACTCTCGTATAGCCTCCGCACGTGGCACAGCTTGACATAACTTGACATAGTCGTAGCATTTTGACACTTCTTAGGCGATTGTAATAAAATTTATGTATTGCCACGAAAAATATCCATACAGTAAAACCTGGATAAATGCAACCAAGATTGGGACCCAGTGGTTGCATTTATCCAAGCGAGGTGTCGAATCTCGGGTTACACGCGACGACCAGCCAAGCGTGAACGTAGAAAGGGACAGATAGTGGTAGAAAGAGAGAGGTCCGATGATGAAAGGAAAGAGCCGAAACGTATCAGTGTGACTAATACTAATTCAACTATAAAACTTTTTTATTTTTGACTTGTTTTTAATGAAACTTTTACCAGCGGATTGGTGACATTTTTCTTATTAAAATGATACCAAACACGATATAGTTTGAATTATAATTACTTGCCAAAAATGATGTTAAATGTTGGCGAAAAGCAACAGAGATCGAAATCAAAACGAGTCGCGGTGTCGGCTCTGGTTTCAAAGGTTTCATTTATCCGGGCAAGGTGGCGATTCTGGGCATTTAATGTTGCATTTATCGAAGCGAGGTGTCGATTCTGGGCATTTAATGTTGCATTTATCCAAGCGAGGTGTCGATTCTGGGCATTTAATGTTGCATTTGTCCAAGCGTGGTGCCGATTCTGCGTTCGTACACATGTTTTGTATTCAGCCGACATGCCGATTCTGTGTCCGTACACATCTTTTGTATTCAGCCGACATCATTTATATTCAGTCGTGGTGTCAATTCTATGTTGTTTATTCTATTACTATTGTTTATAAATATAATTCAAACTATATCATGTTTGGTGTCATTTTAATCACAAAAATCTCACAAATGCGTTAGTAAAAGTTTCATTAAGAAAAAGTTAAAAATAAAAAAAGTTTATCGTTCAATTAGTATTAGTCACACCGATATTACAGTCGGATCATATTACACGGTTTTCTCGTCGAGCGGCTCGGTTCGTCTAGGGGGATCTCCCTAAGTGGAGGGGATAGCGATGTTGCACTTATCCAAGTATTCTTTCGTTGCATTTATCCAGGTTTTACTGTACTCCCTTATAATATACATGTTTAATATATAATTTATAATATGACATGATATATACCCGAAGAAATGAAAGCATTTCGTTGTTATGTAGGTTTTGAAATGTATTAACGCGATTTAAAAATATAAATGTTATAATTATGACTTGCAATGTATTTTCCTGCATACCCCAACAATTTTCAGGTGTTTACTGATGTAAGGTCAGTAACGAACATGTAATTGCCAGATTCGAACATCTGGTGGTTACGATTCGCTCTAACCCGTTTTATTGAGGGAGTAATAATTTGCAGGTAAACGAAGGTTTGGTACTATGCAGTTAATTTTCCTGTATTGGAATTTTTTCCAAATACTTTTCTCAAAGCGTTCGGAGTGTTCACATTATACGATTTCTCAAAGTGTTTCTAACTATTTAATTTGTTTTTTTGGTTTTTTCTTTCGTGTTAGTTGTGTTCTATTTTTTTCTTAATATTTATAGTATGTTGTGTGTTTTTTAATTCTATAGTTATTAGTCACTTTCTATTTTTATATAGTGCGTGTGTGTATTTTTTATTTTATAGTTATTAGTCATTAGAAATTAAATAAGTAGAATCAGTATGGAAAATCGTAAGGAAGGACAGACAATGCGAAGCGAGACTCGTAAATTGATTACGAGAATCGCCGAGAAGTGCGATGAAGAGGCTTGCAATAAACAACTGTGTTTTGGTATTCGACAATCTGCAGCAAGAGTCTGTAATTATACCGGTGTGTCACGCGCAACTTTGTTTCGCATTAAAGGTGAAAGCTCATCATCCTCATCGTCATCGCAAAACAAAAGGCTTCGCACTGTGGGAACGTTTGATTGTACCGACGATGAGAAATTGATAATCCGGAGCATTATCTACGATTTTTATGCAAGGAAGATAATTCCAACTTGCCCGAAACTGCTGGTCACTATACGGGAACAACTTCCTTTTTCATGGAAACTTCGCACATTACAACGACTGTTACATAAAATGGGATATAGATGGAAAAAATCTACAAATGTGAGGAAGATTTTAGTAGAGAAATCAAACATTGTTGCATGGCGCGACAAATATTTAAGAGCGATTGATTCCTACAGGAGACAAGGAAGAAATATAATATTTAGATGAAACTTGGGTGGATAACACATTATCATTTAGCAAATGTTGGCAAAGCAATGAAGAAATTGGCATATTAAGAAACAACAGTTCTTCCCACCGTTACATAATTGTTTATGTGGGTGGCAAAGGAGGATTTGTGAAAGGTGCTGCCTTGATTTTTAAAGCTCGCAGTACAACGGGGAACTACCACGGGCAGATGAATGCCCTCAATTTTGAGAAGTGGGTAAGCCAAAAATTGCTACCTAGCATCCCCTCTCAATTAGTCATTATAATGGATAATGCTCCGTACCACACGGTATAAATAAATAAATCACCAACCGCATACGGAAAAAATCAGACATGATAAAGTGGTTAGAAGAGAATAATATCCAACACACAGCCACCATGAAAAAATATCAACTGGTGGAATTATTCCAAAGGAATAAAAGTCTGGACAAAACTTATAAGGTGGACAAGTTATTTAAAGGGGAACAACAGGGTGAAACTTTCAAAAAATCGATTGTGTTTTTTTTTATAGAATTGGCAAGTATTCATCTTTTAGAATATTTTCCAAAAGTATTATGATGGAATTCGTACAAATAACGAAGCTACATCGCTTTTTCTGTGCGCGAGCACTCGACCGAAAACAATTGCTCGAAGCTGTTGACGGTAAGGCCTATTTTCGGCAGGTGGCGGTGTTCCGATATTCTTATTTACATTGTTTGTTGAGTGACAATGGATCGCAAAGGAAGTAGATCTACCTCTAAACGACAAAGACGTGACAATAGAAAAAGTCATCGCCCTTTAAACCGTTTTGAAATAGAGCAGGACGAGACGGTTGGAAGCGTAGCGACGAAGAAGTTAAAGACTTTCGACATTACCGATGTTTCCATAAATCCAAATATAGGATATAAACTAATAAACTTGATAACGGTATTTTTGACAATTTCAAGTTTTGTGAAGTGTAAAGTTTGTAATAGCGACATAACTTTCGAGGAATCAGGCTGTCGCGGACTCGGTTTCAAATTAGTGCTAAAATGCAAATCGTGTGACCCGAAATATATAGATTCATGCCCTTTAATTAATAACGCTTACGAAGTAAATCGTAGATTTGTATTTGCCATGAGATTAATTGGAGTTGTCCTGAACGGTGCTGAAACATTTTGTGCGTTCATGGATATGCCACGACCAATTTTTCAATCGTTTTATGATGCAGTTGTTCATAGCGTATATACTGTTTCGAAAGCGGTAGCCGAAAGTTTCATGAAAAAAAGTGCCAATGAAGAAAAGAACTTGACGAGTGAAGCAGGAGCACAGGCTACGGGACTGATGGTTTCAGGAGATGGCACTTGGATGAAACGGGGATTCAGTTCTTTGTTCGCTGTCGCCAGTTTGATAGGTTTTCGTATAAAGAAAGTTATCGATGTTGTTATAAAGTCTGCGTACTGTCATGCCTGCAAATTGCATGAAAACGATCCGGATGACATCGAACATGAGATGCGGCGACAGGAACATGCAAAACATTGTGTCTCGAACCACGAAGGAGCATCCGAGAAAATGGAAATTGATGCGATTCGTGAGATGTTTCTCTGTTTGTGAAAGAAAGCATCGCCAACAAATTATTAATAATTAAATTAAACATTTATTGTAATGAAAGGAAATACATTCTAACAATCGCAGAAAATAAAAGCCGTTCTAGAACAATCTCGCGCTAAACCGGACAAAAAGAAAAGAATCGCAAAAAACTGTCGAACGCGGAGACGAAAAAAGGGCCTGACCCCGGCCTCCGCGCCCCACTCTCCGGCCCGGCACGGAAGAGCGTCAGGCACTCACACATAGACAAGTCGCGAAACATATTACCAAATAAGGCAATAAAAAGGTCACGGAGCCCCCTAATTGGCGCTCGGGAGCTCCGTGAAACAAATCCGTGTGCCTGCCGGAATCTATAAAGGAGCCGGAACAACAAAGGCGATTAGAACAATTAAAGTAACAATCCTTGGCGAGCGAGCACAGTATCTTTCAACGTTTAAACGAGTTGCGCGAACAGTGACTTGTAATCACCAACCTCCGCGGTAAGCGGCTCTTGTAAAAAATAAACTATCTCCTAGTCAAAGTGAAGCGCATTTATTTTAAAACCCGATTCACTAGCGGCATAATAGTGCGGCGAAAGCCAGCTATAAATTCGCAAACAGTAAAAGTGGTCCTTCGAGCCGGATATAGTGATCGGGAGTGCAGTTTGTGCTTAAAACACGGTGCCTGGGCTTCAAAAGCAGCGACACCCTTTACCGGATTATACCGGGACGCACAAATTTGCCAGCAAAGGTGCCTGGGCTTCAGTGAAGCAGCGACACCCTCCAACACGCTACACGGAGTCGATCAACCGACATGGCCTCCAAGGATCTGTCCCTGAAGGAGCTGTACGCAGCTCAATCCGCCTCCAGGGGTCTCATCAGCCGAGCAGTGGACAACTTCACTAAGCTGGGAAAGGCGCAGCGAACCACAACCGTCACCAGCAGCAGGCTCAGCAACCTACGGGGATACTGGGAGAAGTTCGTCCAGCAGCACATGCAGATCCTCGCGCTGGCAGACAAGGAAGCAACTGCAAAGGATGAGTACTTTGTCAAAGATTTATTTGTCGAAACATCTTGTATATTTGAAGAAGCGTGCGATTATTTTAACGAATACCTCGCGAAATTAAAGCCTCCGCCGGTCGCGCAGTCGTCGTTTGACGAAAGTCACGTTGCTAATTCGCAAAACGTCGTGAACTCAATTAAATTACCGCAAATTACAATGCCGACCTTCTCAGGAGACTTTCATGAGTGGGAGAATTATCGTGACTTATTTCTGGCATTGGTAGATCAGAACGCTGCACTAACAGGGGTACAGAGACTTCATTATCTAAAATCCAGTCTTTCGGGCGAAGCCGCCTTAACTCTAAAGAATATCGCGGTAACAGAGTCAAATTACACCACAGCATGGGAACTCCTGAGAAAAAGGTACGATAACACGCGTCTAATAGTCCACTCACATCTGCGAACGCTCACAGAAATACCCAATATAAACCGCCCATCTGCCAAGGAATTGCGCAACCTGCGAGATAAGGCGAACGATGTTCGTCAAGCATTAACTAATTTGGGGAGACCGGTAGCAAGCTGGGATGACCTTTTCAATTTTCTAATAATCTCAAAATTAGACCGCGCTTCCTTGAATGATTGGGAACTTCAATTGGGGAGCAGCACCGCGCTGCCATCGTTCGCAGAATTGGACGAATTCATAACCTGCCGGATACGCGCGTTTGATGCGGTTGAATCGAGCAAACAGACGGCGCAGACTGACGAGTCGAAGATTAAAAAGCGAAGTTCAGATAAACGCACGTCTATAGTGTCACATCAGACTGACTCTAGTGCTATTAAGTGTGCATTCTGCAAAGCAAGCCACGCCTTAGCAACTTGTAACAAATTTAAGCAGAAACACGTCAATGAACGGCGTGCCTTTCTTTTCGAGAATCATTTATGTTTTCGCTGTCTAAAACCGGGGCATGGTACAGCAAAATGCCTCTCAAAGTCAGCCTGCGTCGCCTGTCACGGCAAACACCACACGTTGGTGCACTTTAAAAACGTCGACTCCAATGTCAGCAGCGGTCGAGCTGCTGAAACACAGCAGAAGGCAGCAGAGACTGATTTACCCTCCACTTCTCAGCAGGATGAGAAGGAGCAATCATCCACGTGCCATGTAGCTTATTCTCGCATTAATAAAGCACTGCTGCCTTCCGCGTGTGTCAAAATTACCGCGGACAATGGCAGAACTATTCTCGTGCGCGCACTGCTGGATCAGGGTTCGCAGGTCACGTGCGTGACCGAACGCATAGCAGACCACTTGAAATCCAAAAAATTACCTGTCGCGGTAAATCTCTCTGGAATAGGGGGGGTCCGCGCGGGAAGGGTAAAACATGCGGTCGAACTAGAGATGTCCTCTTGTAACCTAAAAGATAGGGAGGAAGCCAAAATTAGATTCTCGGCTCTGGTATTGAAGAGCCTAACCTCTTACACTCCGAGTTCTTTCGAATTCGATTCAAAATGGAAGCACTTAGTCGACTTACCTCTCTGATCCAAAGCCCAGTGACTTTCAAGGGTTTGACTTACTCATCGGGGCTAACGAATACGGCAAAATTATGCTGGATGGGGTGGTAAAAGGTCCTCCCGGCACCCCGATCGCGCAGCGTACCGTGTTTGGCTGGGTCCTGTCGGGATCGTGTGGGCCAACACGCGGAGGCTTGCGATCGGGGCTGCAAGTCCATCACGTTGAGATACTCGACGATCTGCATAAAAATCTGAAAAAATTCTGGGAATTAGAGGAGACTCCAAAGGGGTTAGGATTAACTCGTGATCAATTAGACTGTGAAAACCATTTTAAAGAGACTCACCGCCGCCGTATCGACGGACGTTACGAGGTTAGGTTGCCGTTCGCAAAAAGCCCCAAGCTCACGGTCGGGGACACTGCAAATATTGCGAGGAAAATCTTTCAGTCAAACGAAGTGCGAGTAAGGAAGAATCCCGAGGTGTATAGGGAATATCAGACCTTTTTGCAAGAGTATCTTGATTTAGGTCACATGAGTCGAATCAGGGAAACCGAATCTTTAAACGATAAAGTTTTTATTTCTCACTTACCTGTATTGCGTCAGGAAAGCCAGACCACGAAATTGCGCGTAGTCTTCAATGCTTCAATGAGCTCCTCTAACGGTAAATCTTTGAATGACTGCCTCCACGTAGGGCCCAATTTGCAAGCAAATCTGTTTGCGATACTGATTAGGTGGCGTTGGCACCGCTTCGTATACACGGCGGACATTGCGAAAATGTTCCGCCAAATACGCGTAGCACCCGAAGACACTAAATATCAGTGTATCTTCTGGCGTCCTTCAGAAAACTCTCCGCTAGCAGCTTATCGTTTGGAAACCGTCACATACGGCACGGCGTGTGCACCCTTTCATGCCAATCGCGTCTTAAAACAACTCGCGAAAGACGAAGGCGAAAAGTATCCGTTGGGAGCAGCCATCTTGTTAGACGAATTCTACGTAGACGATGCTATGTTCGGTGCAGACGATCCGTCGCTATTGGTAGACATGCGCGATGAGCTGAACCGATTGCTCATGGCGGGCGGGTTTAAATTGAGGAAATGGGCAAGCAACTCTTCGTCACTCCTCAAAGATATCCCAGCAGAGGATCATGGGTTAGCGGTTAGCAGAACCTTGCAAGATGACGAAAGGGTTAAGGTGTTAGGAATTCAGTGGAACCCTTCCTCCGATGTCTTTCATTTCCATACGAATACTCCCGAACTTAAGAAATATACGAAGCGGGCATTCTTATCGCTATTGGCAAAAACGTACGACCCGTTAGGTTGGATAGCACCCTTTATTGTTCAAGGAAAAATAATCTTACAAAAGTTGTGGTTGGCAAAAGTTAGCTGGGACGACAATTTACCTCCAGATTTAGCACGCGATTGTGAGAAGTTTCACTCAATGCTCTCCTACACAAGAGATATTTCGATTCCTAGATGGGTAGGAGTAGGAGGGGAGATAAAAACGGTGCAGCTACACGGCTTCTGTGATGCCTCTCACTTAGCGTACGCTGCAGCGGTGTATATCCGAGTAGAGTCTTCGTCAACAAAGGTTACGCTGCTGTATGCAAAAACTAAGGTGGCCCCGTTGAAAGTGCAGAGCATTCCTCGGCTTGAACTCTGCGCGGCTGAGCTGTTGAGTCGGGCGATCAATTTTGTTCTTGGGGCGTTGCGAGTCAAACTCGATGCCATCGTCTGTTGGTCAGATTCAAAAGTTGTATTAGATTGGTTAAATGCACCTCCAGGAAACTGGAAGACCTTCGTAGCAAACCGAGTATCAGAAGTGCAAACGAGCTTACCTTCGGCTCTGTGGCGTCACGTTCCAGGGACGCAAAACCCCGCCGATTGTGCGTCGCGAGGATGCTCAGCCAGGGATCTCAGGACGCATGATCTCTGGTGGAGTGGACCGAACTGGCTGTCAGATCCCTCGGAGAGCTGGCCACAGCAAGGGTTCACTCCAAGGGACGAGCAGGTCGGCGAGGAATGTTCGGTACAGGTGGCTTCAAACGTAGATCACAAGGTGGAACCGTTGGAGATCTTATCTCGTTTCTCTTCCTGGCCTAAATTATTGAGAGTACTTGTATACGTGTACAAATTCTACAACGCGTGCAGAAAAAGTCCAAACACAGAGAAAGGCAAGGTCGTCTCGAAGACAGAAATACAGTTCGCAAAAACTAAATGCTTTCAACTGATACAAGCTAATCACTTTCCAACAGAATTGAGAGAACTTGCTAAACCAAAAGGAGTGCTAACTAAAAGTTCAATTTTGGCTCTTTCCCCGTATTTAGATAAAGATCACATAATTCGCGTGGGTGGGCGCTTAAAGTACTCACCTCTGCCTGAATCGGAGAAACATCCGATAATACTTCCGCGATGCCACGTCACTTCACTAATTTTGAAGCACGTGCACATCATGACGCAGCATGGAGGGCTGCAACTGACATTGCGAACCCTGCGCCAGCAGTATTGGGTCATTCACGCGCGAACCCAAGTAAAAGGGCTAATAGCGAAATGCGTAATTTGCGTTCGACAGCGCGCACAAACCTTACAGCAGCAAATGGGAGACTTGCCACGAGAACGCGTAACCCCAAGTCGCCCGTTTAGTATTGTGGGAGTCGATTATGCAGGCCCATTTGCATGCCGCGTCTCACAAGGCCGCGGGCAAAAAACACGAAAATGTTACCTTGCGCTGTTTGTTTGTTTGTGCGTTCGGGCTGTACACTTAGAATTAGTCAGCGACTATACCACAGCCACATTCTTAGCCGCGTTCGAGCGATTTACGTCACGAAGAGGCCTGCCCTCGAAAGTCTTTTCCGACAACGGCACAAATTTTAAAGGCGCATGCAACGAAATTAGGTCGCGAATACGAAACCTTAGTTCGGATAACGAATTTTGTAACGATGTGGCCACGCGGGGAGTGGAGTGGAAGTTTATCCCGCCCGGTGCGCCACACTTCGGCGGTCTATGGGAAGCAGGGGTCAAGAGCGGTAAGCACCATTTAAAACGAATACTAGGCTCCTTTAACCCCACTTTCGAAGAGTTTTCGACACTACTTTGCAAAATAGAATGCTGCCTCAATTCGCGTCCATTATGTCCGCTTCGTGACGATCCGGAAAGTTTCGATGCACTAACCCCGGGTCACTTTCTCACAGGTTCTCACTTAATGTCCGTGCCTGACGCTTCGTTGTTAGACGTAGCTGACTCGCGACTTTCGAGATGGCAGGCAATACAAAAAGTCCATGAACGATTTTGGAAGCTGTGGTCCGCGGATTACTTGACAACACTGCAAACTAAAACGAAATGGCGAATCGCGAGCGAGTCGTTGCGTGTCGGCGATTTAGTTCTTCTGCGGAATAGCAATCTCCCTCCAACTCAGTGGAATTTGGGAAGGGTAACAGAGATTTTCACGGGCGGGGATAATCTCGTGCGAGTGATTCGGGTAAGAACGGCGACAACCGAGTACACTAGACCGATCACTCAAGTATGCAGACTGCCTGTGAATGAAGAATGAATGAGACTGTTTATAAACACAGAGTGCGAATGAATGAGTATGCGCGGTACATTGCCATAGAAGCGAAGCGACCAGGCGTCACGGTCGATCACGAGTGATCGAGGCGGGCGGAAATGTTTGTGAAAGAAAGCATCGCCAACAAATTATTAATAATTAAATTAAACATTTATTGTAATGAAAGGAAATACATTCTAACAATCGCAGAAAATAAAAGCCGTTCTAGAACAATCTCGCGCTAAACCGGACAAAAAGAAAAGAATCGCAAAAAACTGTCGAACGCGGAGACGAAAAAAGGGCCTGACCCCGGCCTCCGCGCCCCACTCTCCGGCCCGGCACGGAAGAGCGTCAGGCACTCACACATAGACAAGTCGCGAAACATATTACCAAATAAGGCAATAAAAAGGTCACGGAGCCCCCTAATTGGCGCTCGGGAGCTCCGTGAAACAAATCCGTGTGCCTGCCGGAATCTATAAAGGAGCCGGAACAACAAAGGCGATTAGAACAATTAAAGTAACAATCCTTGGCGAGCGAGCACAGTATCTTTCAACGTTTAAACGAGTTGCGCGAACAGTGACTTGTAATCACCAACCTCCGCGGTAAGCGGCTCTTGTAAAAAATAAACTATCTCCTAGTCAAAGTGAAGCGCATTTATTTTAAAACCCGATTCACTAGCGGCATAATAGTGCGGCGAAAGCCAGCTATAAATTCGCAAACATCTCAGATAGGAAGAATTGTACGGTACACAGTACACTCATTACATCGGTAATGGCGATAGTATAACCTATAAAGGTATTATTGATTCAAAACCGTATGGCGACAAAGTTATCGTAAAAAAAGACTGCATCAACCATGTACAAAAGCGAATGGGCACGAGATTACGACAGTTAAAAAAAACTCACAAAGGACTTGGCGGTAGAGGAAAGTTGACCGACAAAATGATTAGCGAATTGTGCAACTACTATGGAAAAGCTATTCGTGAAAATAATGAGTCTGTAGAAAAAATGCTCAATGCCATATGGGCCACCATCTACCACAAAAGGTCGTTAGACGAAAATCCAAACCATGAGTTGTGTCCAAAAGGTGCGAGTTCATGGTGCACTTGGCAGCGCGCAAAAGCCACTGGCAATCTGCAATCATTCCTATTTTTGCAGATTTGAGCAAATCGGAATTATTGGAACGTTGCATAGGTGGATTTACGCAAAACTGCAATGAGAGCTTTAATGCTCTCATTTGGAAATTTGCACCGAAAACTTTATCAAGTCGGGCTATTATTGTGCAAATTGCTACTTATTTGGCTGTTTCCATTTTTAATAATGGAATGTCATCTCTGTTACAAGTAGTAAAGAGTCTTTCAAATTGAGCGCAAAAAATTGACAGTCTTTGGTGGCCATGTTTATTATGTTTTTTCATTCCTCAAACGTCATTTGTTTTCTGTTTGTCATGACAAATTATCATGGAGCGCTACACGCCTCAACAAAATATGGAATCGGTTACAGCAACGTATCGTGCACTTCGCGGTATT